AATATAAGCTATACCATTGCCTGAAATATGTATTTTGAATTTATTTTATATGTGTACTAAGTAATAATTTTTTTTTGTTTTTTGTTATAAAATTAATGTAATGGAAAATCATCTTGAAAAAGTTGAATCGTTGTTTGCTCATAGTGTATATAGAAAGTTCTAAAGACTTGGTAAAATTGACAGAGCTGTTTCTGGCACAACTGTTGAAGAGTATAAAGACAATTTAACGAAGATTTATACTGTGAACACTGTACAAAGTTTTTGGGCTGTAATCAATAATATACCAAATGCTAGTGCTGTGCCAGTAAGTTGTTATATACATTTTATATGTTCATATGTATTAACATAAATATATATGATAATATTATTTCTATTACAGGTCAGATATAGTTATCATTTGATGAGAGATGAAAGATATCCATTATGGGAGGAACCTGTCAATCAAAATGGTGGAACATGGAGATTAAAGTGCCATAAATCTGACACTGTGGGTACTAAAATTTTAATTGATATCTTGAATATGTTAATGATAATTTTAACATTCACAGGAAAAAGTTTGGAAAGAAATGGTGCTTGCAGCTATTGGAGAACAATTTGCTGAATGTGTTGCTGACGATGATGATGTTTGTGGTATAAGTGTGTCTATTAGAGAAAGAGATGATCTTGTTGAAGTAAAGATTGAAAAATTATAACTTAACTGAATTAAAAGTAAAAATTATTTTATAAAATTTTCCTCTTTTTTTCTTTTAGATATGGAATATAAATGCTGCTTTAGCATCAAAAGCTAAACTTTTAGACAAAGTTCATTCTCTCTTGCCTAATGTAAACTTTATTGAATTTTATAAACGTAAGTTTATTATAATTATATAATGCTTTAATATTACTAAGCCTTTTTACTTTTTATTCTAACTATATTGTTTTTTTAACAGCACATCAATCACATCATGCCTACGGCCGCCGTTAATATCTTGGCTGGTCCATAAATATAAGTTTACAAAGAAAAACATCTAATGCTAAACATGAACATACAAACAATTCGTACTATACGAAATATTTCTACAAAATTGTAGTGTAAGAAACCTATAACAGTTTTTAATTTGTTAACAATAAATTGTTTATTAAAGTTATATGAATTTACAAGTCCTTTATAACAGCATAAAAATCGTTGCTATTATAACTTTAAATTATCAAATATGTCTTCAACTGTTCTATATTCGCATAATGATATTATAAAGTGTTTTATTCCGTTAAGAAAATTTCCACTGAATAAATTTCTTTCATTTGGTTTTATTAAAGATTTTTTATATTATTGAACAAGGTATCGGAATGCATATAGAATTTTAATGTAGTTTTACATTACCGTCTCCAATAAATTCCTCCAGACATACGACACACATTGAAGACGTCTGGCGCCGCTCACTCATTGGCCGATCGTTCACGATTTATTTGATTCGTCTTCATAGAGACTCGTCAATGACATATGAAGGCAACATTTCGCGGCATTCCATATATGGTAAAGTAATGTTTTACATGAACCATAATAAATGCAATAAAAATAAATACTGTTTTTCTAATTACAGTAATTTTTGTATTTTTTATATATTTATTAATTACAATTTACTTCTCTGTTTACTAAAACGTGGATACTGAACTACAAATATTAAATAAAAAAAACTCATAAATAGCATTCCGATTGAAAAGATATGTAACTCTTTTCATATTCCCCAGTACCACCAAAAAATGCGTAAAAAATCGAGGAACTTCTTTCACATACTTTCGAAAACAGACACTTGAATCCCTAATCATGTATCAATAAAACCAATTTGCTACCCGACTAAACGGCGCCGACTTAACATTTTACGGCATTTCGATATTCCTCGTATTGACGTCAACGAATGAATACCTTAAAAATTAAGAAGTTTACTTGTATTCGAAACTCCATTAAACTAGTTTTAAATTACATTTCAATTATGTTCCACGTGATGATGTTTCACCGTTTACATCAATTGTTGCCCATCCTTCAAGAAATATGTGAATTTATTATACGCCCCCGTATTTTGTCCCAAAAATTTTTGTCTTGTAATATTCTACAATTATGCAACAGGTATTTCCCAAATTTTTGCACAAATTTTCTATAATTTATAAAAAGGCATGTCGAAAACACACAATGAAAAACATTTTGTGAATAACTTTACCAAGAATATTTTTTATAGTTATTTGTTGACCAATGGTGTAATAGCATCGATAACTTCGTACTAAACGGCGTCCTTGTGTGCAACCTTGCACAGACATACTGGATATGCATATGGTCAAGATTAATACGGTTACGTTAACAGGGTCAACAATCTTACGAGACTACAGAAATAAAATTGCACTTACACGTAGTTTCTCTATAATAGCTGCACAGACTTTACAAAGAACAAATTTCCTGCGTTATAAATTGCATTTTTCAAAATTAAAAGTGTGAAAAATAATATTAAATGCTGTTCAACTTCGATTAGTAAAGTCTTACAATAAAACGGTGATGTGGAATTTCCTGAATTCGAAATAACACTGTCCATAAGATTTTTGCGTAGGTTTTTACATGTGACTAGACGTACTGTTACATGACTTTGGAATCTAAAGTTTAAGGTAAAATTTATTGCACCCATATGCAAAACCGTTTGAGTGACGAAAGGATAGGACGGTAAATGAATGAACCTCGTAAATAGAGGTTAACAAACAAAATAGAAGAATTTATTGTGAAAAAAATTTTCGGTCGTTGATTAAAATATGTAATTTTACATTTCCTTTAATCATAATACTTTACAATTCACTACAGATATGTAATAAAAACTTTTTATTAACATATCTCTATACCAACTTATTATTGCAAAGCAATTTTTACAGGTAACATTTCATTTTCATTAACCAGTAATAAATTATCATTTGCTGAATGAAGGAAAAATAACACACACACAGCTAATTTAGAGGTGATTAAATTAAACTGATTTAATGGGTTATTATACACGCGTATTAGCATAAGGTATCTCTTCGTTGTATAATAGAAAAGATTAGGCTATACCTAGATAAAGAATACATTATCGAATTCGAATTGAGAGGGAATTAGATTTTTGCCATACATAAAGCAAAGGATACATATATTCTATCTTTTTACATAGTAATTTTATTTTATAATAATTTATTGCAGAATTATTTCGCGACAACCTTCGAAGGCTAAACAAGGAATACTTACAAAAAAATGTAATTGTATCCCAATGACGAGCATGTAGACATCAGCTTGATAAATTCAACTCATCCTCTAACAAATCGCCATATCGAGGCGTCGGACTGATCTTTAGGAATTTTCAGCTATACTTCGCTACTCATTAATCACTCTTAACATTGTTCCGTAAGCGGTAGTTCAGCATTCCTCAGGGGCGCCACGTTCTCACGTCACTCTACCCGCCAAAAAATCTCAGACAATCGTCTTGCCTACTGACACTATTCTCAACAACAAATCATAACTCATTTAACACCGTGTGGCGTCACGCCGCCATATTGCGTTATTAAATTGTTGTAAACTTATTCTACTCCCTAATTAACATAATATTTATGCGACTGTAAAATTATGCGAGAAATAGTTTTACGGTGTCACGTTATTAACATGTGGCGCGATATTGGTCGAAATATCAGCCTTTACTATTTCTTTCTGCTTATTGTATTCTTTTTACAAATTTGTGAAGTTCGAAAGGCTAACATTATTTTAAAAAATGAAAATTTCTTTATTCCGTTATATGCTGTTTCATTTCAGAAAATAGCATTCCTACAAAAATGGGTCGAATGATGTAACAGGATTTGCAAGAAACTTAATGAACGGTAGAAAAAGTAATAACACAGTGTAAAATATTATGTATAATAAATCGTTTCTCGTTTCTTTTTGGGCCAATGACGTAGCAAATATAACAGTTCAGGATATTGTGATGATATCTATTGAGAAAAATTTCGCAAATTTTTTAAATATATGATGGGATTCAAAGAAAGCATATATTCAGTGAAAACGTCAATGACGAACTATTTTTATGGGTCTCTTCCAATTTCGTTATCTAGAAACGAATGTGTCACACGGAAGTTCTGTGAGACGTTAGCACCGATTAGTCCATATCCAAAGTGTTGTATCAAAGTTCACTCCGGTCGAGTGACAATTCAAGCAGCGCTATACATTTATTCATTGAGAATTCAGAGAAATTGTGAAATCGAGACATGGAAAATAGTTCCGTAGAAAATAGTTTCGTAAATTTCTTTTTACTAACAAAAATACTCACTTGATATCTTTAAAAGTACAAACTAAATTTAGTACGATTATTATTAATGCATTTTTTGGTTATGCGACAGTTCACACCTGTACATTAAATTTATTCGGTTATATCGACGTCGTTTCAGTATAAAATTGTTCAAACACTCAGGATCGAAATTACCGCAAATCGTTTATCAGCAAAACGCTAAACATCCGGTAACTATTATGTCGAATTTTACATCCCTGGATCTCACGGCGAAAAGAGAAGATGATTCTCACTATCCTTTTTGAAGTATTATGACATTCGTTTGAATTACATTTTTTTTAACCTTTTTTTCTCTGTTATAAAACAATAAGACGATTTATCGAACAAATCGTACATTTTTATACGAGCAATTGAACATCTAACCGGAGATCAAAAAGCGGGATGCGCTTGTAACAACTGTAAGTGCTTCACGGTTCGTGGATGAAGAAAAACGACTGCTGAGCTTCACTGCACAGATACATTATCTAACAAACTTGAACCGTTGTGAAAATAGAATTTTTCTTTTTTTATTGACGACTATGCAATCAATAAATTAATATGCATTACATGTGTGCATGTTAAAGCACATGAAGGAGCATATAAACAAGTCACTACAATAAACCCCTATACCGCTTTTTATTGTTTCTTATTACCACTTAAATTACTATGAAATCTCATAAATGGAATGCTTCGCTTCATTCTATGAAATAATGAACAAAGACTTATAAACCGTTTTTATATGTATAGTGGCTCTCGAAGTTTCAACTATGATTGCAATCATGTAATTAGCACTACAATATCTTCGTTCCCAGCAAGAAATGGCAGAATCTTTCAAAGAATGCGGAACGAATGCAGGTTATGTACAGTGAAATAACTTTATAATTGTGTCTATAACCGATTCTACTATTCTTCATTAATTATTATGCTACTAGAGGTTATGCACTTGCGTCAGACCTTCACCTTTAACTTCATGAGGTTGGAAAAAAAAACTAACCTCGCATGATAATTATCATCCATAGTACGCAGCTGATCGATTAAAAATCCATCACGATTTATCATGGACATCCTTGACCCAGTTTACGCAATTCCTGTACGGTTGCTCCGTAAAACGTAGCATGTTAATCGTGAATCTTTCATGGATCAAAGTCGCAGAAGGTCCATGAACATGCAGCAACACGGGACCTCATATCATGGTAATCGATCGATTTGGAAAGTAGAACGACATTCTTAGTCGACAAATCGCCATATACGATTTTCTTAAGGACATTTGATTTCAGACAAAATTGCTCGTCGCAATCCCGGTACATTTATCGTTTCAACGTTGATTTACCGATAGAGGATAAATTACTATTGCATTCACGAAACTGTGCGAATCAGTGATTCCCAACAGTAAAATACAACAGCAAATAAGAAAAAATTTTTTTTCCTTCGTTCAAAATATAGTAATACAACTTTTTTATTCTGTATATTAAGAAATATTTTATAGTTATAAGATTATTTCATTTTAACGCAGAGGATAACAATTAAAGTAAATTTTTAAAATAAGTTATGAACGATTTGAGAACCTCTGGCATAGATCTATTCTTGTAGACTCCGAATGACATAATAGTCGGATGACTGCATGCTGACTGTTAAATGTGCAGCGAGCCTACGAGATAGTCGAGATTACCTGGAATGACACCGGTTGCGGTAACAGACACACATTCGCGTTGTCGGCGTTTACCTGCACGAATAATACAAGGTTCCTTATTCTCTGTTGTACATCTGCATCGGTGCGAATTCATGTGTGAAAGCGAGTTTGCGGTATCTCCATTCTCACGTTGGTCATCGTCATACAAAAGTGTCATCGCCATTAGTTGACATGCAATGTGCAATTTTCTTTTCTGTGGTTAATCGTTTATGTTCTTCAAATTGCGCGCCATTTTAAACGTACCTTATACACATTATTTCGAGAAATGGTGGCGTGACGTGCTTCGTATATTTTGTCCCATGCAAGAAAGTGACAAAAGAAACGCATATCTTTATCGATACTATTTAAGAGATATAATTGGTGTCGATCTTATTTTATATTCTTTCCGTGTATCTTTTCAAACGTGCTCGCCGGTAAATACATGCAAGCGATCATAGAGTCATTCTTGGCGCTTCGTGCATCACGTGTCGTAAATAGAAAATCAATTTGTACCTCTAGGTTCACGAAGCATTAATTTTACATTATTTCGAGTGTCACGAATCAAAATATCGATATCTGCCCTGTGACGTAAATGCAGAACCATTTCATTAGGATTATACTTTCTTTTGCGTCGAAATTCCAAGGAACTGCGCATTCGAGAGACCAGGAGACATTTCTCGACGAATATTGATTTATAACCCGATCATTGACCTACGTTACGTAGATCCTTGAGTAGCCGTATATTTTTTACGTGAAAATAAATCACACATAATGACAGTCACGATGAAACACATTGTTGTAAACATTTTGAAAACCAATGAATTTAGATAGATTTTTCGATTTTTTATCAAAATTTATATTACATTTTCTAAATACTTTGTGAAAATTTTCCGTTACTTTAAGTAATGATGTTAAATGTCAAAGTGTGATAGGTGTACTTTGTATATAGAAATCTATTCAATGTTTAAAAAGACTCGAAGGACTCAGAGTCCTGAGAAACGTGATTCTAAAGACCTAACTAGCCGGGAGAACCGGATGAGTAAGGTTGGATCCTTTCAAGGCAGTGAGCTCTACGAATTTTCTCTCGTGCATCGTCGCAAACTCGTTTTCAATCAACTCCTTCGATACATATTTACAAATGTTTCATTCTGCTTTACAATTTTTCATAATTTTGTTCATTAAACGCCAACAAACAGATTGATATAATTCTTATCGTTCCTTCAGTTATTATTATACAAAATAACAAAAGAAATCGAAACAAATTTTGGTATGCGATCAATAGGATGTACGAAGTAGGAAAAAAAATCCTTTGACTCACGAAAGTTTCTATTAATTGGGTGACATCCTGAAAAGACGTAAACACCGTGGAAAAAGTGGTGGACTCTGTTCCTGAAAGTAGGAGTGGGGGCGCCCGGGGCTGCGTGGACGTCACTGGCATACGAACATATAATCAGGGACCGAAGGAAATCCAACCAGTTTGCACAGACAGTTTGAGGAGTATGGATTGTTGTATCATTTTCCTTCATTTGAGTCCACGTGAATTTATTTAGTAACATTCTATTAATATTTGTTAAATTAATAAGTATTCTTGGCTTCTTTGCTAGTGTCTTTGTTAGGAATCTTCATTTTGTAAACATTAATTTTTCATTGATAATATTCGTGCGGTAGATAAAATTCCCTAATTTAACAATACGTGAAAAAAAGTGCGTTTGTAAAGACTGTTCGAAGTAAAGTGAGAAGCAGAAATGAAAAATCTAAGAACTTTTGTGCTATTCACCGTTGGCGTGATACTGGGATGTTACGCCCTGAGTGTCACTGCTTCCGCGATACCCATGTGGGAGTTCCTCTCGCGGGATGAGAAAGTAAGCATTGTTTTCATGTTTTGCTATAAATTGAACGCGTTACAGTGCGTAAATCGTCGTAGAAAATTGTACGTTTAAAGCGTTTCCTTTGTAAATCCTTTTTTCCACATTCTACCTTAACAAAGTTGATTTTCTAGTTGCTATTCTATCGGTCCTTTATTTAAATTAATATAGTTTATATATATAATGTGGAATGGTAACCGTGTTACCTAATCTTTTCTATTGTTTATTTCTATTTCAAATGAATGGTTGAGTATCTGATATTTGTGTTTTAGTCAAAAGTACGACTAAACATTTTGCTTGCTCTTTCCCAATTTGTTAAAAATATCCATCACGTCATAATAATCTGTGAATGATATTAACAAACGTAGACTTTCACCGAACACAATCGTGTGCATTCGTTGAAAATGCTCTTCCCGTGCACTTGTGCAGTCCTATCGAGTGCAATTGCGCGAGCGCGACTCGGGCGTTGACTTTTCTCATGACATTGTGCCCTTCTTCTTGCGTTGTTTTTTTTCATGGAAACGGTTTCGAACGCAACAGTTTGCGATCAATGGCCCCACTGTACGTTGGTAACTACTCTTTGTATTTACGATAGAAGTAGAATATTCGGTGAAACTGGGAAGGTCAATTTTTTTAAACGAACCTCTTCAATGTTGACTATTAAAACAGTAGAATATCATAGGGTTAAAGGTTATATTAATGTTGTGATAATACTGATATATGAATTATCTCTATATAACTAAATTGGCAAACTTCGTTTATCAATATTGACAATATTTTATTTTCCAATGAATTCTATAGTCAGATATGATGATTATTAATAATAATAAGTCGAAGACAGTTCAATTACGTTATTCTTAAACATCCTTTTAACGAAGATTTTAATATGAAACTTCTTTTTCTTTCGCAGAAGCTTGAAATTAACGTTGTTGAGCTCCTTTTAATATTGTAATCGCCCGCTACGCACGATAACCTTGGTGAAAGAAAAAAAAAGGGTGGAAATCATTTTATCGCCTTACATGCACTGTGAATAACATGTCGCAACATGCATGCTGGTAAAAGTTGAAGTTCAAGAACGTTCTTTTTATGGCTCGATTGATCTTGTAATTTATATTAACTAGTTGATTTTCAATGATTTAAAATAGCTTTCGTTTTTAATATTGAAATTTGAAAACATGTAATGTAATTTATTTTCGCGCGATGAAGATGAAAAATAAGAGATTATCATTTGTATTCATTGTTTGTGCACGGTAATTATTTATCCAACGATCTTCTGTCCGTTTAGACTTTCTCTTATTTCCGGAATCCTTTAGGAGATAGCACAATGATCCGCCATCGATCACGCAGCGGATCTATGTAGGTCAGCATCGGAATACGTGCATCCTCGCTCGCACAGCTCGTCGTGATATAAACTTCTTGCGCAGCACATCATTTGTAAAAATAACTGACAATTTTTTTAGTTTTATCAAACAACGTTTTTTCACACGTCCGATAACATATCTTCCGCGCGCATAAATCAGTAACCGCAAACATGAGATTGAAATTTCTTTAAACAAGTCGCTAAAAAAGTATTGATAAAAAATGTATTTCGAAACAAGATTTTTATCCTGAATTTACTTTCGTGTAAACGTGAAAAAAAAGGTTAGAATTCCTGGAATAATGCAAGCTGCATTTTTCTAACTAACAGGAAAATATTGAGTCGTTATAAAACTGTGACCATGAGTAACGCGTGTTAGAAAAATTTTATCGTTACGTGAAGCAAGTTTACCAATACCCCTCTTTCCACTGATGATACTTATCCGGTGTAGGTAAGTAAGTACATGAAATTTCGAGAGGGTTAAAAGGCATATTACAGAAATATCATTAGAAATTCTAAGGTCGAATATTCGCGTAATCACTCGGCCATAGATGGAGCCAAAAGTGTGTGGACATCGATCATTGCGTTTTACGTGGACGTTACATGCACGAACGGGGGCATGTTTCGCGCGGTGGACAGAATTTCTCGTGACGAAAACGAAAAAAAAGGCGTGTATCGCAATCAAAGCCCGATACGTGATGTACGACGGGCTGCGACACGCATATATATTTGTTTGTATAACCGTCGTGTCTGATATCCCGTGTGTTACACATTGCAGAGTTTCACCGGACGCGCACAGAATGTATTTGTCCACACGGAATGGAAAACAGCTTTCGCGATGATCGCCACTGCGCATGGGGGAAAGAAGTGTCCGCCATTTCTATCGATCGTAGTAGTCCTATTGATTCTACAGAATAACAATATTGAAAATCAGTTTTTAAATCTTGAAAAGTGACTTGTATCGTATTATGAATGAAATATGTATATAACTTATTTTGGTAGAAATTGTTTCTGAAAATGGGATTTAACGATATCGTATCACATGAAAAGTGATACTTGATTAAACTTCGCTGAAATTTGTTTGATTGTTATATGTGTGGTAGTTTGTCTTGTAACTTAAAGTATGTTTATTTCAAGTGTACTCAAAAATATAGTTCTTTTTAAATATAACACCTATTTATTTTCAGATGAGCCACTTGTTCAGAGTGTTCAGTCAGCAAGTGGCCAAATTCTGCGTGGATTCATCGATGCCGGACTGCAACAAAAATTTACTGGTTTCCGGCTTTCAGAATCTGGCTAACATGGACGATAACATTCTTGATAAATTGGATCCTTATCAGCGTGGCGCGAAAGAAATCAGTAAGCGTTTGATTTAATTTTAAATATTAAAATTTCCTTCATTTTATTATTTCAACTTAATTATTGTACATTTCTCCCTCGCAGTTTGGCGTGCCATAGTAAAAAATGGATATTCAACAAGAAATAGCCATGACTCGGATGAATCCTACTTTACCACCGGAACTGATTCACTAGGTATGCGTTTAAAATTAAACCAACCACATTAAAGAGAAATCACAATCGCAATTCAAGGAAACTTTTGAATCGAACTTTACAGTTACACTTTTGACCAATGTCAATTTGCAACCGCCAAGTTCACCCTGAATAATTCGAATGGCTGACCGTATGAAGTTCATTAGTGCGAGTGAAAGTTCTAATCGACGAAAAAGGAATGAAAGAGACTCGTACACGAACCTGTAATCTCGCGGGACTGCATATTAGTTGCGAAAGGTGTACCCGAGGAATGTCAATTAACCTTCGCATTAACCGTGAAAATTGAAGTCGTGCAAAACTGAACGAACAAAGAAGAGAGGAGAAAAACGTTTGAAAGGGACCGTGAAAATTGGAATATCCACATTTTCATTTGCGTGACCCGAAACGAACAAAAACAAATGGTGCTGCGAGAAAGCTCCAAGCGCCGCCGCTGCCTCAATCGCGCACGTTCCACTAGAAAGTTTTTTTTTCTTCTTCGCCTGAACGAGATCGTGTTTGATAGTAGAATGCTTGTTCTCAATTCGACCAGCCTCCTTAACTGCACTTTCACCCGATCATCTGAACGAGTCAACCAGTGTTCAGGATGGTTTTTTAGACGTCGAAAAAAAGGATACTCGCTGTAACGATCAGAGAAGTCTCGATCGATTATTCTGAGGCTCTACCGTACCGACGATGGCAATATGATAAAAGATCAGTTCGTTGGACATCGAAGAGCAAAATACGTTAAAGAATTATTATGACTTTCTTAATTCTTCTGAGGAGAAACAACATTTCTTTCTCAGAACAGAACTTATTGAATTTTTATTACATATTCAACATTGCATGTACAGAATGAGTCACTTAAGATTAGAACCTAAAATACGTTTCTTTTAATGGCACAAAAAATGTGTAAGCAAAAAAGTATTCGTTTTAAAAGGACAAATATTGAGATTTTTTTTTCAAGGTCATCGAAGTTATTTTTTTTAAATACAATTATATATTTTCACTATATTTGTTCTTTTGAAACGAATACTTTCTTTTTTACATGTTTTATGTGATATTTTAGATTCTAATCTTAGGTGAATCTCTCTGTATTGCCTGAAGAATTATAGTAAGAAAACTTAAAAAGAGTCTCTTAAAATGAGAGACAGTATCCCTGATCGTTTGCATTTTTGCTCGACTCTTCAGAAAGTCTTTACGGAGAAGAGTCATCCGACAACGATCTGACGGAAGTAGGAAGTAGTATAAAGAAGATGTATATACTGACGTGAAAATATTAGACGTCGAATTATCATAATCCGGAGGTCACGTCTGGCGAAAAAGAATCACTTTCGAGGCGGTACACGCGTCACGTGAATGCGTTTAGAAGTCGATCGTGCTGAAAATATTTACGATCGACGATAATTCCGAGGCGAGAACATATTTATTCATTATCGTTAAATTTGTTACACGGTATCGCCACAAATGTCTCATTATTAACTCGGTCCCTTTGCCGATCAAAATTTCACATGTTTAAATAATTTCCTTAATTGTATGATTATATATTCGTTTATTAACATGAACAGCACGAATATGAATGAAATTTGGTTAAGTTTAAATCTTAATGTTATCGAAGACCAAATAGGTACTTTATATTAAGTTCACCTACCTGAATAATTAATAAATTCGATTTTCCTAATATTAATAATTAACGTGAAATTTCAATTCATATGAAAAATTGCAAACGTGTCGTATGGGTAGACGAGATCGCAATTTTCTCACTTATGAAAAATCAGTTTCACCTTATCAGCTATTCGAATGATCAATAAATTCCTCTTCTCACGTCTGGCTTTTGAAAAATAGCTTCAACCCACGATTAGAAGGATCACGAAAATATACAGAATGGTTCGGTAACAGGTACAAGGACCTAAGAATGGAAGGTCGCTGAAAGCCATTTCGAGTCTCTTCTTTCGCATCATGTGAAAGAGTTTCGGAGAGAAATTTGAAAGTATAATCGCGGGGAATTTGTTGCTGATCTTTTTAGCCGTCTAGAAAGCCTGTGTCGCGTCAGAGAGAAGAAAACCTATTATGTACTTAAAACAACAAGGGTACTCTTTGCCCCTTGCTTCACTCACAAAAACAATTTCAATATACAGGATAAAACATGATAAAAAGTATACTATAGTCTTCTTAAGAGCCACTTTGAACCATATACGACGCAACAAAAATTTCATTCAGTCCATTATGAATAGAATAATTGAAGGTTATCACGTTATATGATTCACCTTGTATATATTTATTGGTTCATGATTTTAAACCGAAATATTTCTTTGAAGATAAAACCAAACACGATGTATATATATTAACATTCTTGTCGATGTTTCTCTTGGTAGCTACCAGTGATAGCGACACAAATGGCCTAGGAGAAGAAACAATTGCGGGACACGATTATTTTCGACCACCTTCAGAGCACACAGGCCCCTACCTAGTTGGTCCAATGGTGATTCGCGTATATCCGGATGGTCGACCAGTTCCGGAAGATTCGACGCGCCCTCTGCCTCGAGACGAGGACATCGAAGAGTTTAAGCATTCTCGAGTACCCTCGATCGAGGATATCGAAGCCAATAGAGATGTTTTCTATGAAAAAAGATCGAAGGGGAATGTGTTCTCCGAGATGAAGGACCATCGACGAATTCAAGACGAGTCCGTTCGTCTTCGAAACGATCATCCACCATTCAAAAGACGATTGCTCCAAGAGGTGGTTGCAAAACGTAAAATACGATATTATTGAAGAGAGCATTAAGAAATGAATATTGAAGAGCTTCGGTCGACGATGAAGATCCGAAACACTTCGTCGTGGACAATTACAAAATTTGTTGGATGTTAAAGATGCTAGAAGTAATGAAGAAAACGTTGGGAGAGATGAAGATCTATTAAAGTAGTCTGGAAAGTAATATGATCATTAAGTACGAGCTGCAGAGTATTTTTGATGGTACTGGAAAATTGGACCATAATTATGGTGTGTCTGGATTAGATTCGTATTAAAAACGGATCAGTTTTTACATGTTTTGTCATTTAGAGATGCGTATCGTTTTCTGTAGTTTTTGTCGTTTCATTATGTCTGTTTCATTAAGTAGGCAGTTTTAGATTCTCGTGAAGAACCGGTCTTTCATAATGTAGATAGTAGTAAGAATTTTTTGTTATACATATATGATAGGCAAAGCGATTGATACAAATGTTAATTTTTAATGTTTCGTTCTCTCCGAGCGGTTCGCTGAAAAAATGAACGTAAAAGAACGAGCGAAAGGTGATATTTTTTTTTTATAATTTTAATTATTCATGAACACATCGTTAGATAATAATTTTGTAATGTTTAATGGTGGCGAGTTTGAAAAGACTGCTTCTCCGAATGATATTCATATGTTTCATAAATGTTAATAACCATGTCAATTTTTGAAAGCATTTAATATAGACTACGATACCTAGAACGTTAATTGACGATTGGTCGGCTGCTGAATCATTCATATTCAATTACAGTGCATTACATAATTTGAAATAGGTATCTCAATGAATAGGATCAAATTCGGTATAAATTCTTCACTTTTTTTTTTATACATAAATAACCGCCGACCATGATTGTTTTGATCATACAATGCTTTCCATTAATTTATTTATTGCATCATCCGTGAAATTATCATTAATTTTTATATTAATTCCATTTACAATTTCGCTCATAATTATACTGTAATTTAAATAAGCATGAAAATGGACGAGTCCTTTTGTTATATGAGATTTTTTAGAGTCTCAGTCGCATCTTCGATTTTTGTTCATTTTAAGACATGTGTCTTCGCGGCACAAAGGAACTTACCTCGCTGGAAATTTGTTTTTCGTATTGAGTAAATGTACGTACAAAACTCATATAATGTAATGTTAACAGAGTACATTTTCATGTATACAGCAATGTTTGTCTTCGAATATTGTATTTGTTGAATATCATATTGTGTCTTTGCAATTATGCGATCGAATTTGATTAATATTCACATACATAATCTCAGTTTTGATATTTGATACATAATAAAAAGTTATCATGTAAACAATGTAAGATTTCGAGATTTGTATGTGCATAATGCACGTGATATTTTAAAATACCGTGTTAGATTTTTTCTTAGCACAAAGCGTCCATATTTTGTACCGTATATGTAGTAATTTAGTTTTTATATAAAATGGCTCATAAATATTTGTAAAATTTTATATTAGATCAATGCTAAAGGAAAAAATAAAATATGTGATATTCAATTCAATTCACTTGCATAAAGTTATTTTTATTTTTTTACAAAAAGCTTGTAAAAGTCTTACCCATTATTTCAGGACTTTGATTGTCTTATATGTACTTCGATATCGATACAACTTTTTTATTTTACAAAATTTTGTACGTCTGAAAATGATAATATGTTTCAAATTATTTTTACGCGTTTTTTATAATTGGTACACCTACTGATGAGAACTGTACGATTTTTTCAAAATGAAAACAGGGCTTTAGGTGTTACTGGCTCCATAGTCATTCGTCGATCTTGTTTCGCTATAATCAATGCTTCAGCTAAATAAGGCAAGGGCGGAACAAGTATTTCTGTGGAAAGTGTGTGGGGGGGGGAGGCAGAGAAAGATAGGAAGGAGACATTGAACCGATTCTCATTGTTGAGTTTTTTGAAGTATTATTTAAGAGAAATAACCGGAATAAAAATGTCCCATGAAACAAGTAAGTAATATGTAGACATTTTAGTCTCTTTTCGTATTCATCCGGTGATTCATTACCATCTGTTTTGTGTGAATATCAAGCCTTCCAATTTTCCGGTCGCTTATCCTGAACCGAATCATAACACTTCAAATGCATCAGTGAATCACATACGTGGTGTTACTATAAACTGCAACTAAAGCAATTGTGAATTTATTTCGTACGTGACCATATATGCAGAATTTATTATTCACAAAATTATTATATATTTTTCATTTTTAATTTTCTTGTACATTTTTTCCGTGTTGAGCTACTAACAAGTTATTTTGAATTTTTTTTAATATTTCTGGTATCTAAATTGATTTAATTACATTTACGATAATCATATTTTATCACGCTGTATTCAGTTGATAGTAATGTGCAAAGTAATATAAAAAAAACAATGTTAATAGAGAAAAAATTTTCGACAATTTAATTTCATTAAAAATTGTACATGTAATTAAATCTGAACAAACAATTGTAATGATATTTTGTTTTTAAACGGAAAATAAATATGCAGATTAATATTTAGGAATAATTCTAATTAATAAAAGTGTTACAGATTTATTATATACTGTTTTAAACATAACATGTAAATATGCCTATTTTTTAATTGAAAGTAAATTTCCTATGAAATATCAGAAGTAAGCAATTGTAATTTTAGGTCAAAATACAGTTTCCATGCTTAAAATAATTTGAAATATTACACATTGGATTTATGCCAATATATCAAGGAAGTATATTTTAGTTCCAGTTGGAAGATGAATTCTGTTGCACAATTTAATTCTTTAGATTTTATTATAAATAATTATGTATATTTTTTAATAATTTTATTTTATTTATTTAATACCTTTTATTCACAGAGTACATATTTGCTACATTACCTAGAACACAAAGGGGACAACCTCTTGTACTGGGAGGTGATCCTAAAGGGAAGAATTTTTTATATACTAATGGTAACAGTGTAATCATTAGAAATATTGATGTGAGTATTATAGCGATATTTTCTTCTATAAAATATTAGAATATATCATTACTGAATAATTTTCAATTTTTAGAATCCTGCTATTGCAGATATTTATACAGAACATTCTTGTGCAGTCAATGTTGCAAAGTATTCTCCAAGTGGATTTTATATAGCATCAGGTGGTATGTACAATATTGAATAAGTATTTATATATTAAAAGTTAATGTGGGTAAATGATTCCATCAAAATTTCTCATACAGATCAATCAGGCAAAGTACGTATTTGGGACACTGTCAACAAAGAACATATTTTGAAAAATGAATTCCATCCTATTGGGGGACCTATTAAAGATATAGCATGGTCACCTGATAATCAACGTATGGTAATAGTTGGAGAAGGAAGGGAAAGGTAAGTGTACAATGTTCTTTTAATGTAGATTCAACATTAGTAATGGCTTCATTTCTATTGGTAACTTTAGATTTGGTCACGTATTTATGGCGGAAACCGGTACATCTGTAGGTGAAATTTCTGGCCAAAGCAAACCCATTAACTCATGTGACTTCAGACCTACTAGACCATTTAGACTAATCACTGGAAGTGAGGACAATACAATTGCCGTTTTCGAAGGCCCACCATTCAAATTTAAGTATGTATATGAAAGTACGAAATTGTTTAAATTCATAGGACTTTTAAATGATAAATTTATCATGTATGTGTAGAATGACAAAGCAAGAACATACTCGATTTGTTCAAGCTGTGCGTTATTCGCCTAGCGGAAATTTATTTGCGTCTGCAGGATTTGATGGGAAAGTATTTATTTATGATGGCACTAGCTCCGACTTAGTTGGAGAAGTTGGATCACCAGCTCATCAAGGCGGAGTATATGGAGTAAGGAAATATTACATTTCTTAGTGATAAAGATAAAAAATATAGCAGAAAGAATGTGGCACATATACTTGATCACTGTTTTTACATTCCTACAGGTAGCTTGGAAACCAGATGGTACAGAGTTATTAACCGCATCTGGCGATAAGATGTGTAAACTTTGGGATGTAGAAACTCGTTCGGTGATTAGTGAATTCAACATGGGAACAACAGTTGATGATCAACAAGTGCGTAATTTTTTAATCTTATGATAACAAATAATCGGAGATTATTTTGAAAATATAAAAATGTAATAGTAATAAGACTAAGTTTCTTTTAGGTCAGTTGTTTATGGCAGGGACAGCACTTGTTGTCTGTATCTTTAAGTGGCTTTATTAATTATCTTGACGTTGATAATCCTACGAAACCACTTAGAATAATAAAGGTAATTTGTAGGCGTAATAAAAACATTTTTTTATAACATAGATTGTTAATTTTTACTTCTTTTTAGGGTCATAATAAACCAATAACAGTATTAACTTTGAGTCCTGATAGAAGTACAATTTATACTGGATCTCACGATGGGTATATTACTAATTGGAATGCAGAAACGGGAGAGAATGACCGTGTTCAAGGTCACGGTCATGGAAATCAAATTAACGGAATGAAAGCAGCAAAAAATTTACTTTATACTGCTGGTATCGATGATACTTTAAGAACAGTTGATATTGACACAAACACGTATACAAATTCAGGTGCTGTTAAGCTAGACTCCCAGCCGCGGGGTTTAGATATTTACAAGGACATAGCTATAATTGCCACTGTTCGACAGGTAAGATTATTGTATCAGGTTGTTTTAATTTAATAAACTAATTGAATTAACAATAACCGCATGTTTCAGATAACCGTTACACAAGATGGTCGGAAAGCATCAAATATACCTATTGATTATGAACCATCTTGCGTGTCAATTAATCAGGAAAATGGTGATGTAGCTATAGGAGCCACATCAGACAATACGGTACATTTATTAAATTTATTCCTAATAATTATTACGAATATATAATACGATGATTTTTTAATATAATTTTCAGGTGCGTATATACACACTGTCAGGTACAAGTCTGTCTCCAAAAATGGAATTAGAACATCTAGGTTCAGTTACAGACGTTGCTTACAGTCCTGACAACAAATACTTGGTAGCTTGTGACACAAATAGAAAAGTGATTCTTTATACTGTTCCAGAATACAAGGTAAAAATACTCATCTCGTACAAATTCCCAAAAATCATGAAATATGTTTAGAATTTATACATACTGCTTGTATAAAATTGCAAACAAAAAATGTAAGCTGCTTTCCAGTTTAACCTTCGTCACTTGTAGTTAAATTCATTAATATGACTCACGCTTCTAACGCATATATTTTAATTAATATTTACCATTAGCAAAACATTGTAACTGCTAGTACATGTATGTGTTTTATATAAATCTGTTTGTAACAATTGCTCCTCTTTAACGCTTGTTGGATTTTTAGAGGGTGAGTAGAGCTTTCTGCTTAAAATTGGTCGTTACGATCCAGAAGAAACTTATTGATAAATTTATTAACATTTTACAGCTTGCCCACAATAGGGAATGGGGTTTCCATAACGCAAGAGTAAACTCTGTAGCATGGTCTCCTAATTCAGCTATGGTCGCAAGTGGTAGCCTGGATACAACGATTATCATTTGGAGCGTGACAAATCCGGCGAAACATACCATTATTAAAAGTAAGTATATTTAAGTTCGTTCTGTATTCTTTAATTGTAACTTTTTCATATATCTATTAAAGAAAGAAAATAATTGTGATCGTTGAAAACATTTTTGTTTCAGATGCTCATCCTCAAAGCCAAATAACACGTTTAGTTTGGTTGGATGAGGAAACATTGATCTCAGTCGGACAGGACTGCAATACTAAAATATGGCGTATAGAAAAGATTTAATTAATATTTTGGAAGATGTGTCTTTTTCTTCTTTTTAAAAGAGCTTAATTTTGGATACATTTTATTTATTTTGTAGTCAATGAATATTGTATATTATTTTTTAATGCGATTCCTGAATAAGATTAATCAGACTATATTATGATCTTTTACATTTGGTATATTGAAATAATCAAAAACAAGTACACAGTATATACAAACAAAATTGTTACAATATCTTTTTACATTTTTGCGCAGTGTCAATTATAAATAACATTTTTACATATTATAGTTATTTTTTAGATCTTTACAACGTAAATGACGAAAACATGCTGTCTTTTAATTCTTCGATTTTTACTGGGTGATTGTAAAAAGATTTAATTATGAAAAAAAAAAGATCAAAACGAAAAATGTCTAATGTCTACTTTGTCTTTATTAAAACAGCGTAACGATAACAAGAAAACAGTAACAATTCGAACACTAAGGGTTTCGAGGAACTGATCACGCTTTAAGTTATTTGTACATTTAAAAACAACATAATCAAGGTGTTACTATAATTTGCCTTATTCTTAATCAGTCTAGTACTGAATATTCCTTAAAAACATGAGGTACATAAGTTTTCATATTAAATCATCTAGTTTTCTTTTATATAATAAAATATTCAATTGTAATATTTAAATTTAAAGTCAAAAACACAGTTAAAAGGGACATGAATTGGGAAGTCTTTATACTGCTTCTTTGTTAATTTATATTACCTAACACCATACGGATTTCTTCCAACTAAACCGTGATAACATGAGTGAACTGTAATTGCTCAGAGTGTATAGCTTGGATAAGGAAGCAATTTAACAAATTTACAATAAAAAATCAATACCTTGATATTGATTTAATCTTTTCTCAATTAAAGATCTGTTACTTAACAGAAATAAATACCTTAGCAATAAATAACGAAAAAATCAGAAAATTCGTGACTATTCGATTTTTGGTTCATAACCTTTCTTTTTAGTTAATGAAGTGTTTAAGTAAAGTTGAATAACACAATATTCATATTTTAAACAGAAGGTATCCTAAAGCAAGGGCATGATAAATCAAGATATCTATAAGAAAAGCAGTTTCTATGGCTTTGGTGTACTATATCGTGAACGTTTTTGTGGCGAAGCCACTGGATGTCTATAAGAAACATGTTTTCGAAGTGCATCCCGTGATCTTGATACATGTGAACAAGCTGTACAGCTATATGAACTATTACTGTGAGTTTCCATGTGCACTCGCAAGTTATATTGATTACTTAATTGTTTCCCACAAATAAGGCAAGTGACACTAGATTTATTGTAATTTTGAGAAGTTCTACCGCTCACGGAACTCGTAAGGAACTTGAAATTTGCGTCCCAAACAGGAGGAGGTTTTGTGTCTTCCACTGGAGTAATTTGATCTTCCAAAACGGACGTACTCTCGTCCATACTATTTTCCGAATATGCTTTTTCGGTATATTTATTGGTAGAAGTATTAATGGAAGGAATACTGATTTTTTCTCTCTGATTTAACTTTGCATTAATAGAATAATAAGGTTTAGTTTTCACGCAATACGATATACTTTCTTGATCGTTAAACGGTTTCTCCATGTTCTCAGCTGCGTCTGTTTCCAAAGCCGTATCTAAAGGTTCTCCGCCCCCCGTGACATTCTCTTTGCTTTCTTTTTTTATTGGTGTTTCAGGTAATGTCTTTTCCTGCAGTTGTGCTGGAGGAGGTTGAACATATAAACCATTATCATGTCTTGAATTTTTCTGAAAAAAAAAAGAAAAGGAAAAAAACAGGTCACAACTATGTAAAACTGAAACATTCAAACTGAATCTTGGTTTACAGATGTTTCTTTTAGCCTTCAGGTAATTCAAGTTTTATATTTTATTAAATGTTCAAAAATATGAAATTTTCTGTTCTACCTAGCCTCTGAAATTGAGTGTCTTTTATTTAGAACAAAAATTAGTGAACCTTCTTCTGAAGATTGTTTGATTTTATCTACTTTGTAATAGCTTTTAGTATAAAAATTCTGATGTATATTATTCTAATGAAATTGAATTGTTCATTTTTTCAAATAAATTTTGTTTTTTTTTTTTGTTTTTCGTAATAGTATGTTATTCTGTGGAAAAGGTTTCATGCACTCTTTTCTCCGTTTGTTTGATTAAAAATAAGACTGTTATGTATTTATACATTAATTCTATACATTTGTTATAGCCACTCTTGACTAAAATATGAAGCATTATTTTTAATGCAAAGTACATATTATGTAAAAAAAGATTTAACTGTTCTAAAATATCTACTGAATGTTTAGTCATGTAGAGATTTTTGGAAAAAGCTATTTTAGATATACCTGTAAACTCATTCTATGGGGAAAGGTTCCATGGGATGCATCCACTTGCATTTAGTTGCAACACACACAACGATCTTGATCTCGTGGATATCGTTTATATTCATTATCGTTCCTTCGATGCACGCATGAACATAATATGTGTAGTAGGTAATTCCTTCGTGAGATACTTCTTGAGGAACGACAGTGAATGTATTTAAGTGACCTGAACAAAACAACACGATCAGAGGGTAATATAAAGATTAAAGAAGGGAGAAGCGAATATGCAATTTGCTTTAAAAATTACTTTGTTGCTATTCTGTAGAAAGGAAATGACATTTAATCAGTGTTGAAGTACTTTTTTGTTACATTTAACTGTTTAATGTCTATTATGTGTAAACTATGAATGTATTATGGAAAATGTAGTAGGTGATGGATTAATCTACTTTAAACTAAGTATTACTTGTAGGAATTCTTCAAAAAGAAATTTTTACTTTATAAAATGATTGGTACATGTTTCTAACATACTAATGAAAACAAAAATCATTTTAATAATTAGAATGAACAATTACTAAATAATTACACTTTTTGGACATTTTATTAAATTTAATTAAAGAGCTATATTAATATAATTGGCATGATTATTATAAGTAAAAGTGTGATTCTGTCAATACATACTTGTATTATCTAGTGTCTACATGTTTTTTAGGGAATAAGTTATAAGGAAATAACAATTACCAGCAAGGAATTGCTAATGTTTAAGGCATTGAAAAAAATACATGCTTTGTTACATATGTTTCTTACAATTCACACTGAGACAAGCTTCACTGGATAAGGAATAACAATTTATCAAATAATACTAATTACCTGTCCCTATTATGTGATTAATAAATAACAACATAACAATTAGTAAATTTATTTAAGAACCAATTGAATGTAGTGCAATCATCATTTACAAATTAATTAAACAGAGATCAATGCCGTTTAATTTTAAATTATAATTTTCTTCTCAACTTAAATAATTTATTCATACAATTTTTTTTAAAAATCAATTTAATATAAGAGGTTTGGTAGAACAGTTGTAAAAGAGAAACAAAAGTGTGAAATTCTAAAGTTCAAAATATGCATTCAATCAAATTAATAAAGATATTAGGAAATCCTTACAACGCGATTAACTAGAATGCAAACTTACCAATCCAAAATATTTTGTGCAACCATTGCTTTGTATGTTTATTATATTAATCAAAAACATAGATGAATTTCCTTACCCCAGCAATGTCAGCTAATCCACGAACATGTAAAGTATCTGCCATAGCCAAAAGTGCAGGTAGTTGTTCTTGATAAATATTCACTTCACCATTATACATAAATGTAACTAATGCACATAAATTTGCATATTCCATTCCTGGTAATACTATCACAGGATGTTGCAAAGAACTTAAATCCTAAAAATTAAGTAGCATAATTTTTGTTGTATTAAAAAAATATTTAATAATTTAGAAAATATATTGAATACCTTAAACAATTCTTTAAAGTAGTAACTACAAGCAGAAAGTATAATTTTATGTGCATGTATATGTCTACCACCAGCACTTAATGTGACATCTGTTAAATAACCACCATCAAGCAATTTAGGAAGAGAACTCAATAGTGTGTTTTGAAAATTATGCCATCGTAAACAAAACTGTTGACCCTCCATGTTTTTATGTACTGTAAGTCAAAATTGAATGATTTTTCAAAATAAGATCCTGTATTTCCATTGATCACTTATTTAGGCACAATACATGTACAAGTAAAAATTTCATGATCACTATTCATATAACAATTTACGAGATCTCAAGATCATAGCAATTAAAAATGAAAAATGAAGAAATAATGCAAATAAAAGCATAACCATAAGAACATCAATTACACAAACAAAGCATTCCTAAAATAAAATAAACATCCATAACTATGAACAAAAAGTTACATAAAGTAGATACGAAAATACTATTTTTTCCAAACGATCTATTAACGATACGTATACCTTACTGAAAAATAAAATTACAATACAATAAATTAAACTCTTAACACACTGCACAGACTTAAGAAGGTTATGTGTCTAAGACTCTTAATAAAACAGCAAAAAATTTCATTGCGTCTAATTTGATCTATTTGTACCGGACGGAAGGGTAGTTGGGTTACTGCTGGTAGAGCAGTTCAAGAGATAGACAATACTATTTATTTAATCAGGCTGCAGGTTCCAGCCAAGTCTATTATTGTACTTTCAGGTATGGCTGGAGGAAAGAACAGATATTGGCTTACAATTTATAAGAAACAACCTTCTTCTTTGTCGTCAGTAGTTCTCGTAAAATTTGTCAACGTCATAGAATAGAATTAGAATTCTACGCGTCACTTGCCCTTACCTCGACAAAAATTGTTTGATAAAATCGTCAATGATATTCTTTACAAGACACTTCACATCCATCTGGCAAACTTCGCCATAATCACCAGTAACGTAGAAAAAGTATAGCAATCTATGTTACGTAGACATGCACTGTCACCTGCCGACATAATATTGAAGCGATAGAAATAATCACGCAAAAACATACAGGAAAATTATTACTTTTTAACTAAATGCAATTCTTTTCAATTTATTTTAAACATATTATTTTTAAGCTCATTTTAATAAGTATAACATGAAATTTAATATTTGTTAACGTTACATAAAAAATCATACAAGTTACAGAATACCGCACAATAATAAAAAAACTTATATATATTTTTATATTACGTAAAATTAATGGAATGTTAAAATAAATAGAAGTTAAATATTCAAATTTGAAATATAGTAAAAAAAATCATGAAATTGTACAAAATATTTCATTTCGTTTCTTAAATTTAAATTTTATATTACAATAATTTTTTCAGTAGAAAATATGACTACGCTTTATATAAAAAAATTTGTTGGTAAAAACTATTAACTTTGCATCGTAAATATAAATATTATAATCTCGATAAAACAGTAATAGAATGATTTACATCATTCACGTTATACATTGAACAACGTTTGTTTTAATTTTTTACATTGTATTATTAATTATGAATTATTCAATTTAAAACAAAAAATATTTACAAACGTGCAATAATTACCATCCTACCTTACACGTAATACACGTAAATAAAGTATAGATGAGATGGCGCTACTATTTATGTTTGTTACAGTTTTTCATTCTATCATGATTCGTTGTTGTATGCAGAACAACCAGTATCTATTTAGTGTATTTTAATTAAATATCGCGATAAAATGTTACATGAGTTACTCCATCTAAACATCTAAACAAGATGATATGTTTAATTAATCAATCGCTTCATATGTAGAAAATGTCTGTCACATATCTATGGAAGCAAATACTATTTCATTCGTTACTTATCATTTTAATCATACTCCCGTTGATTGATAGTGGCGATATAAAACAATTGACGTTTTGTAAACAAAAATCATCCCGCAGGTAATAAATTAGAAATTACTTTGTACTGTTTATTTTGAATTCTCACACTTGTAATTTTATCAATATTGTTTAGTATTATGTGAGTAGTACAAAAGATGAATTGTTATACACTTCGCTTTTAAGCAATATTTATGAGTGTTCATGCGAATGCAAACATGAAACAGTTCGAGAAAATAAAGATTTTATAGGTCATCAAATGTATGCTCTTAATTATTCTTTAATTTGTATA